TCATGAGTGAAAAACAGGAATAAATGAAAATAAAAATAATAGTTAGCTTTTACTGAACACTTACCATGTACCTGGCATTGTCCTCACAAAGTATAAAACAGGAACTGTTATTCACAGGGCAACTGGGTGACATTCGGGGAGGATAAGACACTTGCTTAAGGTCATAGAGATAATAAATGCTACAGGGAAGCTTGAACCCAGTCTGTAATATTCAATAATTGGAAAACATGTATACTTAAAAATGTTTTGAATTAGGAAATATGTATACTTAAAAATGTAAGGCTAGTCAAATGTTTGTAAATTGCTTCGTTCCTTGAAAGATGTTCAGTAGCATTATTATAAGTTATTATTTACTTTCATGCATACTGTAAATATAGGCAAAGAATCATGGACAAGCTTAGAATTATGGACTCTACCAAAAATTGCTGCTTTTCTTGTATTTTGGTTTTCTTTCCCCCAAATAATTATCTGTTGCACAAAAATAGATGTAGAATGTAATTATTCATGTCTAATCAAACCCATGGGATTTTTAATGAAAGAAAGCATATATTGAAATTAAGAAATATCACAAACCCCAAGTTTCAACTGACTGCGGCATAATTTTGAAGCAAGAAGAAACATTCCAGAGATGGTAGATGCAGCTACAGCAGCCTCAACTTCTCTAACTTCATGGCTTTTAGCTGTAGATTTTTTAGATTTTTTACTAAGGGTAGGCACCTAGTTCCACGTTAACTTCTTTTGCTAATTAGGAAATTAACAGACACAACTTATGTTTGATTATGAGCCCATTTTAATCTTTCACAAGAGAAAAATAAGATAAAGGTAAGGATCCATGAGTTTTGGGGAGGACATCTAAGCAGATCGTGATATTAACTTTTACAGAAAATATGACACTTCCTTTTGCCGTTTCTGGAGGTCACATCTAGACCAGATATTACAGTTTGAAAATGACATAACATGACCTCATGAATAATTTGAGTTCTGACTTTGTGAACTGCAACTACAAAGTTACATAGAGATTCACAGAATATAAGCTAGATCTAGGTAATTTATATTTTGGTCATGCATTAAAGGAAAAGAAAAAGGGAGAAATGCCATGTGGAAGACTAAAATGACCAGTAGCCATAAAATGGGCAGTTAGTCAATCTAGGCCACCTGGCTATTTACAATGCTGATCACTTCCAAAGACCGCTGGTTATTCTTCCTCTCCGAATTGTTTATTTTATAAGATGCAAAATATGAGACAACCAGAAATTGTGTGGAGGAAATTCACTGACTATTCTCAGCATCTGGAATTTCAAGTGACTTGTTTTGTAGCATCTAGGAGAGAGTTTGGGTGCAATTGATTTTCTTTTTAGTGGTCACTTTTTCAATATACCCTATAGAGCTAAGAGCATGAACAAGTTTTGTTTGCTTGCCCTAGGATATTTAACCCTCAATCCTTTGTTGTAAGCATTGTGGATCTTAGGATCTTGACGAAAGAAAGTCTTGATTTGGTTTTGTGACGCAAGTGAGCAGTCATTACTTGTAGTCCCTGGCCTGTCATATGTAGAATGAGCAGTTTGGATTGATTGCTTACTAAGCTCTATACCATTTCTGAAATTCATTCATTTTAGGAATACATGCTATATACATGTAGAGAAAGAGATGTCATTTATAAGTTGTTTCTGTTGTTATTATCTTGCCCTTGACTCTCTCATATCTTTGAAAATGTGACATGTGGAGACCAGTAAACCCAGCACTACCAGGGCATCGGCTTCTATAATTCAACAGAAAACAAATTTTAAAAGCTCATCTTCAGTTAATACGAGTTAGTGACTTTCTCCTGACTCTTATTTTCTTCTGTTGAAAGAGTTTCTCTGTGGATTTTTTATATTGCTTCCATATCTAAAGAGGTCTATTTCCTTTTATTTCCCCAAGTTAGAAAAAAAAAAAAACTCTAGGCATGAGGTTACAGGTGAAAATATTTCTCAAGGCCCTGAAATAGTCTCTTCTATGCAGTCTTAAGCTCCTCCAAAGACCATGTTTGAGAACACAGTAGAATGAACCTCTTGGTGCATGGATGGAAATTATGAGCAGTTCAACTAAACCGCTTGCCAGAGATGTGAAGAAATTAAGCTTATGCTTCTGGATCCACAAGGATGATCTTCTAATTTCTTAGATGGTTCTATTTTAAAGGTTATTTCTAAATAAAATACTTAATTTGGGGTTTTCCAATTATTGAGACAATTTTAAAAGTTTACATTGGGCACTTAAGCCCCAATTTAGGACAGATTATGCAAGTAGAATAGGGAAAGTAATTTTATCATGAGCCTTTGGGATTGAAATATGGTGATTCTCGTCAAGTTCAAAGTGAACAAATGCCCCAAAGCTGTCTTAGGAGAAGTGGGTAATGCAGTTGACAATCACAGATCTTGAAGAACCCCTCTCCTGCTTAGCTCTTGGGTGGATCAAAGGCTCTGAAAGTGTTTAGGAAAGACTGTGGACATCATAAGTCAGCAGTGTTTGCAAGATAAAGTTAAACAAGTTTTTATATACAAGAAAAGAGTGCAGTGCAATCTAAATAAGATACCAAAAGAAAGGCAATGAAATGAACTCAAAGATTGACTTATACCCAAGGAAGAAGCATCTTCAAATAAGAATTTCTATTACATATTTTAGGGGGAAAATAGCGTGGTGATACAAATATTTAAATTTTAAAATAGAAAAAAAAAACAAAAGTTAGTTTAGAAGACAAAAAAACAAAATAAAAAATGAGATTTAAGATTTTATTTTTGGAGGATTAGTTCACAGAAAGGTGTTTGTTTGTTTGAAGAAGAGATTTGCAGTCATTTTTATAGGGTAAGACACCAGCAATGACCATTTTGGGAAAGGAGAAATGGGAAGGAAATGTCTCTCCCATTTCTGGATGCAAACAAGTAATCCATCCTGGTAAGTTACCACCAATTTTATAGGAGAATGTGGTGTTTTATAAGGACTTATAAAAATAGTGGGACTTTGTCTCAGAACTGTGACATTTTGATATATTAGATATATTTACTATTTAATTAAACTTTTTTTATGATTTCAAACTGTTAATATAGAAACATTTTTGGCTTTAATAAGGCAAATGTTCTAAAGGAAATAATGCAAGTGTGTTTACCAACACTATTTATAGTCCTTGAAATTATACAATAGTATCAATTCATACAATATAATATAATACACACAATATAAATGATATTTAAGATAAAATTATTGGTCTATCTTGGCAAAATTGAAAATAAAATACCAATCAGGCATTTTTCAGAAGGAAAAGAACATAAATCCTTTTCCAATTTTGTCTTCCTTGTTACTTTATTTCTTCTTCTTTTCTTTTTTCTTTCTTTTGTTGCTTAAATGCTTATAGTTTGACAGTTTATCTGTCTTATAAAAGCTTTTCTCACACTTTAACACTTTTTCAACTTATTTTTATTGTATTTTTATAGTTACAAGATCAAGCTCCCTTTGAAAGAATTTCAGGTGCTTTGCTAAATAAATTCAGAACTTCCCTTGTTTAAAATGGATGCCCTTTTCTTTATATTGGAAACTGTTCTAACAGCAGATAACCTTGAAGTCAGGACATTTTCATGACATATTAATCTCGTGTTTATGTCAAATGCTTCAGCTAACTCTAAAACCGTGAAATAAACATTGAGCATATCTTGTTAGGGATAAAATTTAAAGCTGGAGACAAGTAACCTCTGCAACTAATACCTGCAAAGTTTTGTTTATTTTCCAAATAATGTTAAGGATGGGGTAAGTATATTAACTTGGATTGTTTCTATATTCTGAACACATTCTCCATGAGAGAGTATTTGGAGGTAAAGAGACTTATTTTCTTGAAATGACATACTTCAGAATCCTTTGCTCAATACAAGAAGGATATGGAGTCTTGTTGGCCTAAACATGAACAGAGGTAAAATATTCCCCATGACTTTCTCCAAATCTTATAAATCTTATACTCTGTCTCTACCCATAGTGAAAGGTAAATATATCTTCAGAAAATAAATACTATTGTATTTTATAATATGTTCTGATCATTTAAGTTATTGCTGTGTTCAGCAGTAGAAGGATAAGTGGTTTAGAAATCCAACAGCTCTGATAAGGTTAATTTCTTTCTGGTCAGTGAAGGAATTAGCCAACTACAAATTCTTTATCAGTAAAATGAAAATACATATATTGCACTAGTTTCCTGACAGCATTGTTAAGGCTGAGTCATATTTTGAAATAATTTTGAAGATTTGTGGTATAGTTGCATAGAAATAATAATGGGAATAAAATATTTGGTGTTCTGCTTGGATGGCAAATGATTTTAATTTTGTCGAAAAGATTTAAATTCATTGGCTAATGGTTGGACTTCATAAGGACAAATGGAGTCTTTAACATACTGTTTGTAGATTCTTAATAAGAAACAGAATATCTCAATCTCAAACCCTCTCCAGGGCACATAAGTGGATTTGTTCCAAATCCTAAAACTTACTGTGCTTTTTCTCCCCCTAAAATAATATTCTTTATTCATGTATCGTAAGGAACATTAGTTATTGTTATGCAAAAGAAAAGCAAATAAACAAAAAGAAAAATCATGCAATGAAGACCTTACTGGTACTTAAAACCCCTCCCCCATTCCACAACACAGATGACAGCAGGAAAGGCAGAAGGGTGTATGAATTTTAAAAATCATAATAAAATAAAATCAAAGTAATCACACTATGATGGGCTTTTCTTTCTGGAAAATTCTCTCACTACGTGACTTTTTACTTTTTGTCTTTTCCATTTGCCAGCAGGAGTGGTATGGTGCCTGCCCAAGCTGTTTCTCCTCCACGGGAGGCTGTTCAGCAATAAATTCGTGAGGAATAATAGCATGTGATCATTCTAGTTAAAGCAGTTAATAACTGGTTAAGCGACATTTCCCTCAAATGACTGTTTTCATCGCCCCAAAGCAGTCTCCTTCACCCCATCCCATTCCCCACCTTCAACAATGCCGCAACTTCCTTCCCAAATCTCCAGCTCCCAGCCCCCAGCAATCCTACACCGCAATCCTACAACTGTATTGTCCTCTTAAGCGCGAGCGATCCAGTCTGCCGAGGCAAGAAAGATTCAATCGATGGGGAAAAAGGGCAAATTGGAAAAAAATAAATGCTCCTGCTCTCCAGAAAGAAAACGTAGACGGAGCCGCCAAGCCCCGAGCCTGCCGCGGGCTGCACGGCCCGCGTTCCTGGCAGGTGGGGAGCCGTCCGGCGCGCAGAGAGTTAAAGGCATCATCGCAGCCATTAGAGGGAAAAGTTGCGGCGCGGCGAGCCCGGTGAAGTCCTCCAGCCCGCCCCCCTTGCCCACTCCCCACTTCCCGAGCTGGCTCGGCGTTTAGGGAGGGCAGTGATCACGCAAGCCGGAGCAGCGGGCTGACGTTGGACGAGCTGCCAGGTAGCTGAAAGCAGGCAGCGAAGCAGCGGAGGCACTTCCCCGCGCTACAAGCCCGAGTGTGGACTCGAAGCCTCTCCGAATCCGAGCCAGCTGGTTTTAACCTTCGCGAATTGCACTCCCCTCTCCCCAGAGCCAGTCCTCGCGGAGTGAGCAGCAGGATGTTTGCTGGGTCGCGCGCAGGGCTCTGAGACTGAGCCTCTGATACGTTTGCATTCCTATCTTTTTGGGCTTTTTGGCTGTTGGCTACACTGATGTGACCCCCCCCCTTTTGGAATGATGGGGATCTTTTTGGCATATGTTGGATTTGTTTTCTTTTCCGTTTTATATGTTCAACAAGGGCTGTCTTCTCAAGGTAAGTCTGTGCTCATTGGCAAATATACATTTGCTTGCGGAGTGTGTGTGTCTCTGTGTGTGTGTGTTCTCTATATTCCAAGAACGGCCAAGCAAATGTAGTGAGATTCTTAGCAAGTAACAGTGGAATAGTGTTCTGTTTGGCGTTTTTATTTAAAGTTTATTAAATAGTAGGCAAGCTAGATTTGAGAGCAAATCTACTTTGTGCCTGACAATGAAGTGGGTTCCTGGGCAAGTGCAAACACAGGGTTGCGTGTGTGTGTGTGTGTGTGTGTGTGTGTGCCTTGTATCTGTGTGCATGCACTGGGTAACCACTCATGCATACATAATCATGGCAAACAAACAGCTGGGGATGGGGGGCTCTCCATTGCCAGTCCTCAGTGGAGGCAGAATTGGTTTAGTTTCCTTTTTCTGGGTCCTTGCGACTTCGTTTGCATGTGTGTTTATCAAAGGACAGAGTCCTCTGAGGACCCATAAAAAGGCACGACTTGCATTACAAGCCGCAGCAGCCTGCTGAATCCAGTTGTTCGGGACTTCGCAGGCTGCAGTGATCATTTCAGCACCATGAACAGATCACATCTCTGCTGCCAAAAGACTGCATCACTTCTGCAAGCAGAAATGCCATATTCCTCCTTCCAGCTTAAACAGAAAAGTCATTTTCACATCAGAATGTCTTCTTTAACATCTGCTTCTTCCTTTAAGTATAAATACAGTTCCCCTTCAGTTGAGATCGTTTTGGTATTTCCTAAAATTTTGAAAAGACACACTGATGGTGCCTCTTTAAAAAGTGGGGGGAAAGAGCATCCACCCTAAATCAGTCCTGCAGCCCCTCAGTCCTCCTGTCCACGAGTGTGCGTTGTAACTCTGCACTTCCATCAGCCACAAATCTCTCCAGGATTACTTTTAGGGAAACATCAGTTCTTCACAAAGTATCCCTCAGACAAGATAAGAACAACCACTCAGAGCATTCCATGTTAAAGAAATGCCTTTGGGAGAAAGGGAACATTTCATTTTTGTGAGTTTCACCTTAACTCTGAATTTGCAGACAGGTAGTGTCGAGACTGATAGTGAAAAGACTGAAAAAAAAATCTCTGGTGACTTCAAAACAGTCTTCACTCTGAACTAAAATCAGGTGTGTGATTCTTATATGCCATGATATATGGCAATTTACAATACAGTTTGATGAGAACAAATATGAAGGTTAATCTAGAAAGAAAAAAATGTTCACAGCTTAGAAAGTGTGCAACTCCTTTCGCTGCTGTGGCCTTAAAACCACAGTTGCTAGTAATTGTTTTGATATATCAGGCATGTGCATTTTGACAGGTAATCATGATCCATTCTCTATTACTTGAAACAACCAGTTAGTCATAGGTTGTTTAGAAACTTAGAGCAAGAGGCTCTCCCCATATATCAACTTGACAGATTTGTCAAAAATGTAGCTCATTGAATCCCTCTGTAAGTTTTGGGTAATGCTGCAATCTGACAAAAGGTATATGGATCTAACTATGGGCAACTTGGCTAACAGAGGTGAGTTATTTGGCAGCTTGTTAACCTTTCCATTACCTGGACTTCATCAACAACAAAGTTATTTAGGATGATACCAAAAATAAACATGAATGAGGCAAAGGAAAAGGGGTTGGGGAACCAGGCAAAGCCCGAGAAGTCACAGAGGGGTTTTGTTGCCCTTTTTTTTTTTTTTTTTAAGTCCGGGAAAAATGTAGAGAGCTCTCAAGGAACGAGACGCTGACAAGAGTGGTGTGGGTATTCCAAAAGGATGCGTTTCTGTTTTGCAGCAAAATTTACCGAGTTTCCGCGGAACGTGACGGCGACCGAGGGGCAGAATGTGGAGATGTCTTGCGCTTTCCAAAGTGGCTCTGCCTCGGTGTATCTGGAGATCCAGTGGTGGTTCCTGCGGGGGCCCGAGGACTTGGAGCCCGGGGCCGAGGTGGCTGGTGCGCAGGTAGCAGAGTCGCGTCGCCCGCAACGCCGCGTGCGTCTGTCCCACTCACCCCCTTGGTCCTCTAGGTGCACCCAGGGATACTGGACGCCCCTGGGGACCCGCCTGGCTCTCTTAGCGTGAGTGATGCCAGGGGGTGAGCCGGAACGTGTCCTGGTGACATTACGTCAAAACCAAGGAGGAAGTCGGCTTGTGGAGTGTTTCCAGATTAAAACTGGGAGTAACCTCCTCCTTTTAGTACCGGCTATTGTCAAGCTGTCAATAGGGGGGGACTACTGTATCGTTACAGCCCAGGACACTCTGTCCCCCTTCCAGGACGGTGGGGTCGGGAGGGATTTTTCTGTGTCTCCATCACACACACACACACACACACACACATACACACCTGTCAGTTCTTCTCACGACTGAGGCTGGGAGAAAAGAGATTGGGAGGAGGGGGGAGAGAGAGAAGAGGGAAAAGGAGGGGTAAGGGGAGGTGGGCGTGGGAGGGAGGGAAAGGGGAAGAAAGTGGGGGAGAGAGAGAGAAAGGAGGGGCGGTGGAAAGAGGCGGCGAGGTGCGAAGGTAGAGGGAATAGGGAGTGAGTGAAGGAGGGGAGCGGAGGCTACTCTTGAACACGCTTGAGAGGAGACGGAGGGGAGGGGTGGGAGGGGAAGGGGAGGTGTGGAGAAAAGGAGTAGGGACTGGGAAAGGGAAGCAGCGGGGAGAGGAGGGAGAGAGAGGGTCAGAACCGAGATTGAACAGTTCAGCAAAAGAGGCGGCGGACTTGCCCAAGCGAAAAAAGAAAATCTGGAAGAGACCCCAGAGAGGGCAGGCAGGCCGGGCAAAGACGCAGACTCCTGTCCCCGCAAACTTCCACTCGCGCCCGCGCCCCCTCCGGGAGTCCAGCCCTCACCAGCCCGCGGTGTCCGGGAGCCACATCCCAGCGCGCGCGACTCGGCAGCGCCCCCGCGCGGTCCCGCCGCCCCGCGCCGCGTTGGCCTTGGCGGCAGACCCGCCGGCTGGGGCTGCGCTGGTCCTCGCCGGTCTCTTTTCTAAATCACCCCAACCGAGACGTTCCTGCTACCACGACTGGGTGTCGCCGAGCTGGCTCGGCGCGGCTGCGTTCCGGATCAGGACGGGGACCGTCGGGGTCCCGAGCCTGAGCATTGTCTCCTTCTCCCGCAGGTGGAGCTGGTGCCCGACCGAGACCCGGACAACGACGGGACCAAGATCAGTGTGAGTATCACAGCGACAGGCGACAGGGGGCGCGTGCCTTTGTCAGCTGCCAGGCAGGCCCCAGGTGAAAATTAGGGGAATTTTCGGTTTTTAAAAGCCTTTTAACTTACTGTCCCGGAAAAAGGCAATTTCACGAACGCAGGACGAGATCCAGTTTTCTTTCTTATTTACCGGGTACATAAAAATTGAAGCAGATTTAGAGTTGATACAATAAAATTATTTATTTCAATATCGTAAATATTTAAACAATTACTAGAGAATCATTTGCCAGCCAAGGAGTGTGACACTTTCTTCTTACTCTTTTTGGCACTTACATAACTGTAGGAGTATAGGACTGCAATACTAATACTCATTCAAAATCACAGAAATACTTATCCTTTAATAGGAAGTAAAACACTAACTTATGAAAATCTTCCTAGGCAGGAAAAAATTAAAGCATTCAACACGATGTTGAAATTGTATTGAAAACAACTCAATTTTCAATGTGATTCATAATGCATGCAATGTATTTCTAATGACAATGCTCAAAATCATATAAATATAAAACCATAAGGCAATGTAAATATAAAACATAATTCGTGGAGGTTGACCTATTGAAAATAGAGTTGTTTTTTGACTTTTTTTTTT